GGGGTGAAGGGAATTGGCACCGTGAAAAACTGGGGAGAGGCGCAACTGGGATGGGAGTCCCTTCTTGGGTGGGGGGCCCTGAATGACAGGAGCCGCTCTGAGCCCCCTCCCCCCCACTATGAGGCTCCTTAAGGAAATCGCCCCTTCCCATAGCCCCCCCGCCGTTCCCCCTCAGAACTCCACACTCCTTACCTTACCACCGCCACCCCCGGTGTGTGTGGGGGGGAGGCTTTTGGAGCAAGTGGTGGCACCGGGGTGTGAGGATCCCCATCGGGGGGAGCACCAGAACAGAACACCTTTGGGGAGCAAAGGTAGGGGAGGATGTGGGGTGGGGGCGACTGAGGGTAAAATGAAGGAACTCCTTGTGGGGTAGAGCCCTGAGATAGACACTGGACAGGGGGGCTTAGGGTGGGGGTGGGGTTTATTTGCTGTTTGTTCCCGTTGCCCCCCTCTTATCTCACACACACCCCCGTCCCTTAGGGAGCAGTTGGTGGCACGCAGCCTGGCAGCCATGCCTGCACGCATTGCAGCGTGGCGGCTGGAAAAGGAGCAGATGAGGGAGCGGAGCCGGCAGGATGCGGCCCGGCGGCAGCGGCTGCTGGCAGAAGCTGCAGAACGTCTGGGGACCCCGGCCCGGCCCGGTGATCCCCGGGTTCAGGCATTGATGCAAGACTTAGAACGGGAACGGCGACGCCAGGAGAAAAAGCAACGGAGGCAACAGCACGAGGAAGCAACCCGCAGTGCTTTGGCTGCTGCTGAGGCTGCTGCTGCATCACAACCCCCCCCTGGGGTTCCTGAGAACCCCCAGTAAAGCCACCACCCTAAAACAAAGGTGGGATATGGTTTGCTCACCTAAAACTCTAGAAAGGGACTCGTGTATTCAGCATGAACTGCTCTGACACGGCCCCTCTACCCATTCCCCCCCCTCCCCCCAGGAAACACACACTAAAACCACAATGGGTTTAAAATTCTGCATTTAATCTCTTCCCAAGCTGGGTTTGTCCCATGGTTCTGCCCTCCCAAGTGAGGAGGAACAGGGAGGAAAAAGGAGGGTCAGGGAACAGGGATGGGGCCACCCAGAGCACACCCGGCCTGAAAGGCAGCAGGCAGGATCTGGGGGTGCACAGCCATCACTGCCCCTCTCTCTGGGGGTGAGGATGGGCCCCATTGGGCCCCGCCCCATCCCAATGTCCCCTGAGGGCAGAAATCTAGGGGGGAGGAAGGGGAGTCCTGTGTCCCCCCACAGGGTGGGAGGAATCCACCCCGGGCCCCTCAATCATCATCAAAGTTCTGGCTGAGCAGGAAGTTGGCTGCCAGGTTCTCGTTCTTCTCACAGGCAAAGTAAGCCTGGATGACCAAACTCTCGGGGAAGCCCAGTGCCTTCAACTGTGGGCAGAGAGGAGATGAAGGAAAGGATCGTTCACTCTGGTCCTACTGACAAACAAACACAGCCAGATTCCCCTTCTTTCACCAGAGGGGTGATGTTCCAGCAGATCCTTGCATGTGTTCTAGTTCTCAAAAGCATGTCTATTTTTTTTTTTTTAATATCAAAATCTCAGTATTCTGATCAGGTACTAATCATGACTGGATAACAGTTAATCCATGCTAAATGCAGCATAATTCCTAAAAATAACAAGACGGCTTGGGTTTCAAGGGACCTTATAGCCCCTGTTCCATGAGCGTTAACAGCGCTGAGATCAGAGCATCAGGCTCCACAGCTTCACAAAAAACATGTGAATTTTGGAATCTTGAAGCCTGCCTCAAACATAATGACAACTGCAATTAATTCTGTCCCTTAATGATAGAGACAATTTTCATCTCTCTGTTCACTCTGGATCCTACTGATGACTGTTAGGTGGCAGATGCCCATATAGGGGCTCACTTACCCTTTCTATGGCTTCTTTTTCCTGAGGCGTCACTTGGATGTAATTCATCTGGGGGGATTCGTCCCCAATGGCCCCCATCTCCCCCTCCAGGTCTCCCAGCTCCCCCAGAGGCTCGTTCAGCATCTGGATGAACTGCTCCTGGTGCTGGCTGATTTGCTGTAGGGGGCAGGTGGGGTGAGATGGGGTCATACCAGAGCTGGGGGGAGGGAGGGGGGTCCAGAAGTACCTGCAGGAGCTGTGGGTTCTCCTGGCCCAGCTGCTGGAGCAGGGCAGGCAGCAGAGCTGGGTTCTGCTGGATCACCTGTCGCATGTTCTGGAACTGGGGCTGCTCCCGCAGGAACTCCAATGGGTTCTCCCCTGTGCAAGGAGGGGATCAATCCAAGCCACACCCCCACAGCAAATTTCCATGCCCTGGGATGTGTAGCCAGTGGGACACACATAGAAAGGGGCCACTCCCACCCCAGATGAGCTACTGGAACCAAATGGGGGCGGCTGTGCCAGGCCACATCTTTGGGGGGAGAAGGTGCTATACTGAGTACCAGGAAGTACCAACCCCCAAAGGACTTGCCCCCCAGGGCTGCAGTCCACCCACAGCCCTACCCATAAGGCAGGTCCCACTGAGGCCCCACCTTACTGACCTTCAACCTGTGGCTGCTCCGGGGCTCGACTCTCCTGCACAGGTGGGCGCTCAGGTTCAGGGCTCCCTGGGATGCCCTGCAGCACAGAGGGGTGAGTGGGATCTGATTCTCCCCTCACCTGGGGGTTATTCCCTGCTGCTCCCCCCCCCCAAACTCAGCATCACTCTCACCGTCAGCAGGTATTCAACAGCACGGTGGGGATTGTTGTAGCTGGCACGCAGTGCAGCCACCACCCTCTCCCTCTCGTAGCCCATCGACATGATCTCTGTCAGCATCGTCTCGTACTCCGAGCCCGTCACTGCCAGGGGAAGGTCAATGCCAGCCTCCACGGGGGGGCCCAGACCTACAGCTTTCCCCTCCCTCACAACTGCTTCATCTCATGCTCAGCAAAACCATCACTGCTCCACCAAAACCCGTCTGTCTTCCCACATCCTGCACTGCAGAATCTCCACTTGCCTCCCCCATAACCCCTCCCAAGATACCCCCGTGTTTCTGTCCCCACCCAACACCCCCCCCCCCCAATTCCCCCCACTCCATATTTCCCCCCACCCCACACACTCCCTCCACCCTTAACCTTTCCATCCTCCAACCTCCCTCTCCCACCATCCCACACCCTCCCCCAGTCCTGGTGACCCCAGTGGCCCAACACCCACCGAGGGTGGAGGCGGCGTCGGCCGAGCGCCCCGCACCACGTGGGGGGGGAGCAGAACTGCAAATTCAAGAGAGAGACATGGCAGCCAGGTCCTTTGTGAGAGCTCTGGCAGTACAGCAGCCCCCAAGTTCCTACCCATCCTCCCCCCTTCAAAAAAAACCCCTCAGTGACACCTCCACTCCACCCCTCCTCCTGTGGTCCCATCAAGTACCATTTACTGCCGCCCCATTCTATATCTCCCTATGGTTTTTATCTTTTTTAGGTCTCTTCTAAATTCCCTCTGTGGATGAACTCAATTCTTCCATGCCCCCCATCTCCACAACCCTGTTTTCTTTCTTCTCTTTGCCCCCCCATCCCCAAAACCTCATCAACTAATACAAGCAAACATACAGAGATATTCCCCCAAAACGTATGACAACCCAACAGCCTTCCTCCTCTTACCCTGTTGTAGGCTCCGTGAGGGTGAGTGGGGGGAGGTCTTGGGGGGGCTGCTCCTCACTGGGGGCAGCTGGTGGGACAGGGGTGGTGTCAGCAGCAGGGGGGGGCCCTGGGGTTGGGGTGGGCTCTGAGGTGGCAGCAGTGGAGGCTGCAGGTTCAGGCGCCGCGGTGCCCAGTGATGCCTTGGCCTGCAGGGGGGGAGGTAGAGGAGTGAGTGGATAAATGGGACAGAGGTGTTCATTCTGAACATGAGCCAGCAGTGTGCCCAGGTGGCCAAGAGGGTCAACGGCATCCTGGCTTGCATCAGAAACAGCATGAACAGGGAAGTGATTGTATCCCTGTACTCAGCACTGTGTCCAGTTTTGGGCCCCTCACTGCAAGAAAGACACTGAGGCCCTGGAGCGGGTTCAGAGAAGGGCAACAAAGCTGGTGAAGGGTCTGAGCACAACGGGGCCTTATGAGCAGCGGCTGGAGCTGGGATTGCTCAGTGTGGAGAAGAGGAGGCTCAGGGGAGACCTTATTGCTCTCTATAACTACCTCAAGAGAGGTTGTAGTGAGCTGGGGGCCAGCCTCTTTTCTCATGTAACAGTGACTGGACCAAAGGGAATGGCCTCAAGCTGCACCAGAGCAGATTTAGGCTGGACATTAGGAAATATTACTGCTCCAAAAGAGTGTTCAGGTGCTGCAATGGGCTGCCCAGGGAGCTGGTGGAGACATCGACCCTGGAGGCGTCCAAGGAACGTTTGGATTTTGTGCTGAGGGACACGGTTTAGTGAGAGATACCAGTGATGGTGAATGGTTGGGCTGGATGATCTCATTGGTGTTTCTGTGTGATCCTGAGCTGAGGGGCGCAGGGCGGGGGTCGCACCTTGGTCACCATGACGACCACGAAGTTCTTCTCGTCGATGCGGTACTCGCAGATGGGAACGTCATCACTGAGAATCTTCCCGGCATAGATGAGCTTCTGACCCGCCACCGGGAACGCGTCACTACCCTTCTCCGCCTCGATCTTCTCCTTCAGCGCCCGCACCTGGGGGGTTGGGCCCGCACCACCGTTCACCCCAACGCCCGAGGCCCCCCCGCCCAACCCCGGGCCCCGCTCCGGCTCCTTGCAACCCCCCGAACGTCGCCCGGCCTCACCGTCTCGTGCGGCTCCATGCGGATTTTGAACGTTTGCTGCTGCAGCGTTTTCAGCGTCACGGTCACCGCCATGGCGCGGCGGCGGCGAATGCTCCCGGCAGCTCCACAACATGCAACTCACGCCGCCGCCATCTTACGCGCCCCGCTACTTCCGGCCATGTGATTCGCGACCGGAAGTTACGTCATACCGCGAATGGCGCCCTCACCCCCACCTTTAACACGTGACGGAGGACGTTTCGAACACGTGACCCGCCCCCTCCAAGCGACACAAAATGGCGGCGCAGAGAATAGGGTGGGGGGGAGGGGAAATGGCGCAGAGAGAACGCAGCGCAGCCAAATTGGGGGCCGAGACGAGCTTTAATTTAATAGAAATCGGAACGCGTCACCCGTACAGTCACGTGCGGCCGCAGGAGACGCCCCCCCCCCCCCCCCCCCCCCCNNNGGGCCCGGCCCTCGGCCCGGCCCTCCCCCCCCCGCCGCTCCCGGCCCGGTGCCGTTCCTGAGTCCTCGGTCCCGGGGGGCGGAACCGGCGCCGGGAGGGGGGGGGAGGGACCGCGGCCGGGACGCCCGTAAAAAAACAAAGTCCAGGTCTCACAGAGACATTACACGGGGCCGGGGCCGGAGGGGGGCTTACAGCTCGTCCTTGGGGGCCCCCCCGGCCTCCTCCTCCTTTTCAGCCTCGTCCTCTTCATCCTCTTCTTCCTCCTCTTCGTCCCCATCACCATCCTCGTCCCCTTCTTCCTCTTTCCGCTGCTTGTCCTCCTCCTCCTGCTTCTGGCGCTGCTCCTCATCCTGCTGCTCCTTCATCTTCCTCTCAGCCTCCTGCAGGGGCCAGGAGATTCAGCAGAGCTCCCACTGCTCCCCCCCACCCCCCTTCCTGACCTCCTTCTCAGTACCTCAGTGACCCCCTCAATATCTCTGCATCATCCCTCATATCCTGGTGGCCACCCCCATCCCCACCCTGTCCCAATGCTGTAACACAGCAGCCCCCTCCCCCATCCTCCCAGACACCTCCATCCCTTGCTGCCCGCCTCCCCCCACCATACCTTGGTGGCCCCCCAAGTCTCATTGCCAAACTCCTCAGCAAACTTCTCATCATCGGTGATAAGGAAGTTGTCAAAGATGGTTCCAGATTTCACCTACAGAGCAGGCAGTGCTCAAGGGCAATGCACAGAGGGTTGTGCTGCCACCCCCACCCTGTTCTCCCCCTCTGCCTACCTGCCAAAGGTCGAGGCCAATGACCCCAAAGCTGTCATAGGCATAGAGGCTGGGATCAGGGGTGTACTCAGGGTTGTCAATCTCAGGGTGCACCCATTTGCCCTTGTAGTCAGGGTTGTCAATCTGTCGGGGTCTCCACTCGCCCTGGGGGTTTCACATGGGGTGGTGAGGAGGGGGTAACAGCCCCCCTCGTTCCAGAGACTCCCATTTAGCAGGGGAGGGAGCTGCACCTTATACTCAGGATTCTGAATGACAGGGGGCTCCCACTCCCCATCCATCTCTTCATCCCAGTCTTCTGGCTTCTTGGCATCAGGGTCAGGGATGTGTTCAGGTTTATCCCAGTCCTGAAGAGGGCAGCAAAAGGGTTCAGTGTACTGTCACAGCCGCACCCCCCCCTCTCCCCCCCCAACCCCCAACAGCCCCCAAGCTGCCTCCACCTCAGGTTTGGAGTCCTCAGGGTCATCAATCTTGGCACGTTCATCCCAGTCATCAGGTTTCTTGGCCTCAGGATCCTTGATCTTCTTAGGAGGCAGGAAGTCCCAGTCATCCTCCAGGCTCCCTGATTCCACCTTACTGTTGTCAATCTTCACCTCATAGGTGTTGTCAGGGCGGACGATAAGGGTGTAGAGGTGGGTGAACTCATCATCCTGCAGGGGGCAGATGCTCAGCAAGGCTGGGATGTGACCCCCAGCTGACCAGGCCCTCCTGCAGCCCCCAACCCACCTTGCAGCGGATGTCCTTGTTGATAAGTACATTCTTGCCTTTGTAGTTAAAGATAACGTGAACCTTCTTTGTGCCGGGTCCGCAGATATCAGGGCCTGTGAGGGGACACAGGGAAGTTAGGGAAAAGAAAACTGACACTGCCAGGGGGACACAGGGGGTGAGCAGAGCCGCACCAAACATGATGTTATACTCAGAGTCGCCATGCATATCCTCCTGGTTCAGGCTGGCAGGAAAGAGCTTGACATAGCCACCACCACAATCGATGTTCTGCTCGTGTTTGACAGTGAACTGCACCACCAGCGTCTTGTCCCGATTACTGAAGGGCTCGAAGCGGGACGAGAGGGCATAGAAGCGTGCATCCTGGCTAGTCTGGATCCCTGGGGGGAACCCAGAAACTGTCCTGAGCCAATATCCCCCAAAGTGAGCAGCAATGGCCCCCCCCCAGAGTCAGAGGGAGTCCTCACCTTTATCCTTCTCAGCGTCACCGTAGAACTTCCCAGCCGTGAGAACGAAGCGGCCGTAGTCTGACTTGTGCTTTGATTCCACCCACCGCTGGGTCCATGAGTCTGCAGGAGGGAAGCACTGAGCACCCTGTGCCCCCTATTGGCCTCCCCCCGCTGTTAGGGGAAATGGCTTTGCCCCTCCCCATGGACCGGAAGTGGGGTGGCCTACGGCCACCTGCATGGCCCCACCTGCACCTCCAATGTTAAGAGGGAAGCCTTTTACCCCACTCCTCACAGGGATTTCCCCCCTCCAACCGGGAGCCCCTCTCAAGGGCAGCACTGAGGCTGCACAGGTGCATCTTGTTGTACGGCTGCAGGACTGGGGCTCACTGCAGAAGGCCCTTTCTATCCTTTTCTCTCTCGTGGGTGCGAATGCTAAACCACAACGTTTTTACCTCTAGTGAAGAGCTCCCATCCTTTGGGGTAGGGAGGAAGGGGCACTCCTCACAGCCCCCCAGCCCTTTGTCTCCCGGCCCAAGCAAGCCCCACTCCCAGGAGAGGCCTCTTATTTTACATACCCCTCTTAAATCCCCAAACCCATTCCCCCTATATTCTCCCTGTGACCCCCACCCCAAAACCACTCCTTCCCCCAGGCACCACCCCTCTCCCCACACCCCCAACCTACAACCCAGGGGGGGCCTCAAGACCCCCCCTCCCCTCCCCCCCAACTTATCATAGGCCCCTCCCCATTTCAGCATCCCCTCCCCCCATCTCCTCCTCTCCCCCCACCTCCCTCACCTCCATCCGAGAACTCCTCCCGAAAGAACTGGGCGGGCCCGGCCGCCGTCACCGCCAGGAGGGCACCGAGCAGGAGGCAGAGGCGGCTCATGGCGGCGGTCCCACAGCCCAGCTACTCTCACACACTCCCTCCCAGCCCGGCGGCGCCCGGCACTGCGGAGGGGGCGGTGGCAGCGACCCCCTTTTATCCGCTCGCAACCCTTTGTCCCGCCTCCTTCGCTACCCCATTGGTCCGACCCCGCGCTGCGCCCGCTCCCATTGGCCGCCCGCCCGCTGGCCGGCGGCGGCGGCGCCCCCGAACGTTTGCGTCCCAGATGGCCGCTTCCTATTGGTTGAGCGGAGCGGCCAATCGGGAGCGACCACGCGTTCGGAGGGAGACGCCCCCCCCTCCCCACCTCTCGCGCGCGCCCTCAGCGCGGGGCAACGGCGCGATCACGTGGGACAGCGATCACGTGGCCCGGGGGTGGGTGACAGGAGGGGTCGGGCAGCCCATAGGGACACCGCGGGGTGGGTGGGGAGCTGCGCGGGTCCTGATATGGATCAGTGATGTAACAGTAGTGTCGTAAAAACCGATGATGTCATGACATCTGCTGACGTCGTATGGAGCAGTGATGTCATGCGCCCTCATTACGTCACGTTGTGGCTGTGTTAATAAAGGGGGATTAATGAAGCCCCGGCGATTCCCTGTGTGCTCGGGGGGGCGGGTGGAGAGGAGGGCTTAGGTGTTGCCACGGTAACGTGACAGCCCGAAACGGGGCTGTTGTCATGACAATGTGCGGCTGTCATCGGGCTGTTGTCAGGGCTAGAGGCCCGGGGACACCTGGCTGCAAGGGGAGAATGGGAAGCTTGGGATAATGAGCTCCGAGATAAACGCCCAGCTCCCCATGACGTCACTCCTCGCTCTCATTACGTCACAGTCCCCTCGTATCGCCCTGCGGCCCCCTTTCTCCACAGCGCCGCGCGAGGCTCCTCCCGCCGCACTCAAGATGGCGCCGCCCCTAGCAGCAGATCTGCAGAGGAGCACTTCCAGGTGACCGCGGTAGCACTTCCGGCAGCCGCGATGTCGCCCAGCGTGGCCGAGCAGCTCCTGCAGCGTTTGGAGCGGACGCCGCCGGGTCCCGAGGGCGGCCTGTGCAGCCTGGAAGCGGCCGCCGCGCTCGGTCTCGACCATCAGACGCTTGTGGGAGCCGTCAAGAGCCTTCAGGCGCTCGGGGAGGTGCGGGGCCCGCGGGGGAGGACGGGGAGTGCGGTCAGCGCTGGTGCTGCTGCTCGTGCACGATCCTAATGTCGTATCCTGGCGCCCGATCCCTGCCCCGAAATTGGTGCTGCCATCCTGGCGCTACGATTTCCATGTCTGATCCCGGTGCCACCTCGCAGGTGATCGAGGCAGAGACACGTGCGACCACACGCTGGGAACTGAGTGCCGAGGGTGAAGAAGTGCTGCGGGATGGCAGCCCTGAAGTGCGGCTCTTCCACAGCGTCCCCAGCGAAGGGCTGCCCCAAAGTGACGCCATGGTTAGCACTGTGATGGGGGGATGTGGGGGGGGGCTTCGGGAGCACCGCGCATCTCACACGGCCCTCACCGCTCTCCCCTTCACCCCACAGAAGCTGCCCGGTGCCCAGGTGGGCTTCAGCAAGGCCATGGCCAACAAATGGCTGCGCCTCGACAAGGGGGCACCTGGCGGCCCCCGAATTTTCCGTGCCGTGAGTGCCCTCCCCTTGCCCCCCTCCCATCCCACTGGGTGGTGGACTCTGACTCTCCTGGGGGTGTTGCAGGTGAGCACAGTGCAGGATGTGGTGCAGAACAGCCTGCGGCAGGTGCAGGAAGGCAATGGTGACTCTCTGTCAGAGCGCGAGCGCACGGATCTGAAGAGAAGGAAACTGCTGCTAGAAGTGTGCGTGGGGATGGGGGCAGAGCTGGATTGGGGGGTGGGAATCAGGAGCACCCCATCATCCTCTTCAACTCTAAATCCTCTTCAGCACTCTCAAATCCTACTGGATCCGCAAGGGCAGCGCCTTCAGCACGGCTGTAGTGCGGCAGGAGACCGACCTGACACCAGAAATGATTGCCACGTGAGTCTGGGGGGATGCAGAGGCCTCTCCGTGACCCCGAACCCCCTTTCCTCCCCCCCCATGACTCCCTCCCCACACATCCCTGCAGGGGCTCCTGGCGGAAGCTCCCCTTCAAAGCCTACAACTTCTCAGCACTGGGGCTACCCCCCACCTGCGGCCACCTGCACCCCCTGCTCAAGGTGCGCTCACAGCTCCGCCAAATCTTCCTAGAGATGGGGTGAGTGGGGGGAGAAACGCTCAGGGAGGGTGGGGGGGACACACAGTGGTTCCCCCCCCCAGTGACACCCCAGACTCCCAGGTTCACAGAGATGCCCACAGACAACTTTGTGGAGAGCTCCTTCTGGAATTTTGATGCTCTCTTCCAACCTCAGCAGCACCCAGCCCGAGACCAGCATGACACCTTCTTCCTGCAGGGTGGGTGCAGAGGCCGGCGGGGGGAGGGGGGAGTGCACACACACACACACACAGAGTCAAATCCCCACTGACCCCCTCATGTATATACATGTCCTCCCCCAGACCCTGCTGAAGCTCCTGAGCTGCCCGCCGGCTACATGGCCAGGGTGAAGAAGGTTCACTCGCAGGGAGGCTACGGTTCACAGGGGTGAGCGCTTTGGGATGGTCTGGGGGATTAAGGCTGGTTTGGGGTCCCCTAAGTTGATCTGAGCCTCCTCCCCTCCAGCTACAAGTACGAGTGGAAGGTGGAGGAAGCAAGGAAGAACCTGCTGCGCACACACACCACGTCTGCCAGCGCCCGTGCGCTGTACCACCTGGCTCGCCAGGTGAAGCAAGGACAGGGGAGCATGGGGGGAGGCTGTTTACCACCACCTCTCCTTCCAGTTTCTCACCTCATTCCACCTCCCCTCCCAAACATCCCCTATTCCAGGGTAAGTTCACTCCTGTAAAATACTTCTCCATCGACCGGGTCTTCCGCAATGAAAGCCTGGACGCCACACACCTCGCTGAGTTCCACCAGGTGGAGGGGGTGGTGGCTGATCGTGGGCTCACCCTGGGCCACCTGATGGGCATCCTTCAGCAGTTCTTCACCAAGCTAGGTATGAGGAGAGCACGGGGGCAGCTGGACAGGGGCTGGAACACTCCCTCACTGTTATCTTCCCCTAAGGCATCAGCAAGCTGCGTTTCAAGCCAGCCTATAACCCCTACACAGAACCCAGCATGGAGATCTTCAGCTACCATGAGGGTACGGGGACCCTGAGAGGGGTGGGGAAGCCCTGAGGTGTGCTTTTGGGGTGGAGGGTGCTTGGCCTCTCTCCTATGAGGCTTGGGGCAATGGGACACACCTGGGGACCTGTGACCTTCTACAGAGTATGCAGAAATGTGGACAGTAACAACTCTGGGGTGCTCTGGTGGTGGGGATCACCATCTCACCATCACCCTTTTGGGGTGGGGGCCCCACCCTTCTCATTCCATAGGGTTGAAGAAATGGGTAGAGGTGGGGAACTCAGGCGTTTTCCGTCCTGAGTTGCTCTTACCCATGGGGCTGCCCGAGAGTGTCTCTGTCATCGCCTGGGGGCTCTCACTGGAGCGGTGAGTAAAGAGGAAGTGGAGGGAGCCCCAGTGCTGGGACATGCCCTTCTGAACCCCCCCCTCACCCCAATCCTCCTCCAGCCCCACCATGATCAAGTATGGCATCAACAACATCCGGGAGCTGGTGGGGCACCGTGTCAACCTACAGATGGTCTATGACAACCCCCTGTGCCGCCTCGATTCCTGAGTCCTGAGACTGCAGTCTCACAATAAACTTTCTTTGTGCAGCTGGATGCCTCTGCATTTGCTGGGGGGGAGGGGAGGGCAGCAACCACTGGTAGGACGGTTGCTGAGGGAAGGCTTCATTGTGGCATAAGGTTTAGGAGTTGGATTTTGGAGGAAAGACCCCTCACTGCCTCTGCACCGTTTTGGGATAATTGCACCTGAAGTGGGTGAGGCTGGAGATGGGCTGAAGGCCACTGAACAGATCAGGAATGGAAGCTCTATATTAGCTGGCAATATTCACACTCCGGGCCTTACCACGTCGGTGCCAGATGTCTGCATCACAGCAGTACCCAAACAGGGACAGCACAGTGGATCTGTTCCTGCTTTCTGCTAGGCCTCAGGGGCAGCACTGCCCTACAGACCACCACCATACCGAGCCATGAGCCACTTGGCCCTGCCCGCACCTCCCCCCAGGAGCCCTCCTCACTCCCTCAGCTGACCCACGCTCCTCTTCCTCCACCCATCCCACTCTCTGTAACCCGCAGCCCTCGTCTCAACCTGCCGGCCGCCATCTTCGTCTCCCCGCCTCCTCACAGCCCAGCCCTTCCCGCCTTTTCTTTCTCCGTCACCCATTGGCTAGCCGGTGACAGAGGCGGGCGATGATTGGCCTGCGCCGATGCCCGTCACCTGCCGCCCATCGTCGCCCCGCCCACCGTGCTCACCTCAGGGAGGCCGCGGGCAAAATGGCGGCGGTTGGGGGTGAGGCTCTGCGGATTCGCACGGTGTTACTTAGGCGGCCTTCCTCGGTCCCCAGATGTGCCCACACAGCTCCCACGGCCTTCGGCAGAGCCCTGCGCTGAGGGATGTGCCCGTCCTTGGCTTTGTCAGCCACAGCAGTCACATTTGTAGGGCAGGAACGTGTAGCAGTATGCAGAACACCATCTAAAATCCATCAAAAATTGGCCAAAATACCTGATTATTTGTCCCCAGACAAATTATTTCTCCTTCCTCCCCTCATTTAATGCATTTATCCTTTGTTTTCATATGGGACACTGGCTTTCCTCTCCCCCCAGGTGATCTGTTGGGCCTCCCTCTGAAAGATGCCATTTTTATAGAGGTTTCCCTGAGGTTTCTCTGTCCCTCGCGGACATCCCATAATTTTGAGGCTAACAAGATGTTTTCCCTTTTGAATTCCTTGCAGGCTGCTGAGGAGCTCAGCTGTGAGGCTTTGGACAGAGGTGGGAGCAGCCCCACCCCCACCCCCAAGGCTGCAAAATGTCTTCCCATCATCCTGACATCACCGCAGCACTGCAGGACAACCAGAATGTGCTGCTGGAGGAGACACAAAGTGACCCTGCCTGCTGCCCTGCGCCTGGTGGGGAAAAAGCCCAAGGAGGGAGCCCACGGTAGGAGCCCTTCAGTGGGGAACAGAATGGATGGATCGGGCCCACAAGTGATGGTGGATGGGATGAAATCCAGCTGGGGGCTGTTTTTGTTTAATATCTTTATCAACAGTCTGAATACCATAGAATAGAACAGAACAGAACAGAATAGAATAAGAGTAGAGTAGAGTGGAATGGCCTGGGTTGAACCACAGTAATCATCTCATTTCAACCCCCCTGCTATGTGCAGGGTTGGCAAGGGACGCCCAGATCCCATATAGGGACCTATGGAGACCCGTAGATCTCCCATAGGGACCCAGAGGGACCCATAGATCTCCCATAAGAACCCAGGGGGACACAAAGATCCCCCATAAGGACCCATAAAGACGCATAGATCCCTTTATAGGGACCCAGAGGGACACATAGAGACCCATAGAATCATAGAATGGCCGGAGTTGAAAAGGGTCACAATGACCATCTCATTTCAACCCCCCTGCTATGAGCAGAGGCAACAACCAGGTTGCCCAAAGGCACATCCAGCCTGGCCTTGCAATGACGGTGATAAGGGGATTGAGTGTACCCGCCGGGACCAGATCTCATTACTTAGCAGCCACCAAGTCCGTTAGAGGGTTGTTCCCTCTTTTGTAATGTAATTTCCCCATTCACGTGCCTAACTGGGCACTGATTGCAGGACTCAATAGGATGCAGTGTGGGAAAATGCATCAAAGGGGAGAAACGATTTGGGGATGGGCTGCACGCTGCCAGGACAGTTTGGAGGGCAAATTGTGAGTGCGTGTCCTCAAGCTCCACACGTTTACCTCCCCAACAACCCTGGTGGGCAGCCAGGAGCTGAGCCCAGTTTCAGGCTTGGTGTTTCTCAGCGGGTCCATCTGCCCCTCCTGTCCCCTGTGCGCGGTGGTGACACGGGGTCCTGTGTTTGGGCCCAGGATGGAGTCACAAGGTGCAGCAGTGCTGGACAGACAGGCATCATCCCGTTACTTTGCTGCCCTGGACTCCAGCGTGGGAGATCTGCGACAGCGGGCACAGGGCCTGATAGACAGACTGAACGACAGCCGCAAGGAGGACCACACCGTGATGAGCAGCTTCCGCGACAGCCTGCAGCTGAAGGTGTGGGCTGTGCTGGGCGGGGGGGAGAAGGGGGGAGGGTCTGTTTGATGCGTTTAATCGCATTATTCCAACCGAATTAGCCATGGTGCTGGGGGGCGGTGAGAGGAGGTGCTGCGGGGAAGCAGCCGCCAGCTGCAGAGCCTGGTGTGTGCTTACACCGGCTGCGGCAGCGGGGGGCCCCCCGGCCCCTCCGGGGTGGCTGCAGCTGCCTCCAGCTCTGCTTCAGGGAGCAGAAGGGATGCCGACGGCCCCCCTGTCCCCACGCTGCTGCTGCCCGTACTCGTTTGGCCACGTGCCTCGCTGGACTTTGCTCATGCCGGCAATCCCTGCAGCCAGGGGATGGCGCCAGGAGATGGGGGGTGGGGGGCTTCCGAATGTCTGCACCCCTCCTGTGCGCAGATGGCGGCTGGGGCAGGGCAGCTGCGGCTGTGGGGACTCTGCATTCGGTGGCTCCAGCAACCATGGGCGCAGCTGGCAGCAGCGCCAGCCAAGCTGGGCTGGGAGCTGCGCCAGCTCTGGGCTGCAGCTGCCACTCCCCCCCGGGGACAGCACCGGCTGTGCCCACGGTGCTGTTGGCCCTCCTGTCCCCAACATCCCGTTTGTTTTCCCCTTTCCCGAAGGTGTCCAACCTGGCCGAGCAGCTGGAGGAGCGGCTCTTCCAGCTCTACAGTCTTCACAACGAGCTGATCCAGGAAAGGCTGCAGGAGCTGGCAGAGGTGATGGAGCGTGTCCGGCAGGCCGAGGACGAGCTGCAGCAGGTCTGCCACACCGTGGAGGCAGCCTACAGGGACCTGTGCCTGCAGCCCGAAACGTGAGCACGGCCCCCGAGCCCACAGAGAGCCCTCAGACCTCACAGGGAGCCCCCAGACCCCTCCATGGGGAGCACCTGGGTGCAGCCCTCCTGCCGGCAGGCATTCCCAATACACTGGGCTGGCTGCTCCCCTATGAACAGAGAAACGGGGATATCAGCCAAAAATTGCCTTTCCCACAGGGTGTTGGTGTTTGGTTTTTAACGCGATTAAAATAAAAGATCAAAAAACGACTGAATGGCCAAATGTGTGGGCTTTGGCACTGACAGCACATGGCAGAGCTAAGCCCTGTCTTGGTGATGCTGCCCCCGAGCCGCAGCGCTGAGGAACCTGGCACTGACGAGCAGGCAGGTGTGGCATTTCCACCCTTTATTGTGTGCACGGTGAAGGCACTGCGGCGCTGAACCACGCTGCCATGCTTGGCAGGTGGCACTGTGTCCATTCAGTGACACCACCGCCCATCAGTGTGGCACTGTTCCCTTCTGCGCAGCCAAAGTCCATCAGTGCAGCACCGGCCATCCCCAAATCCATCGGTGCCCCCCATCCCAAGCCCTACCCACGCTGCTCTGTCTGCTTGCCAGCTGTGAACGCCTGAATCCCGGTGATGGCCCGGCCCAGAATCAGCGCATGGATGTCGTGGGTGCCTGCAGCAGTGGGATCAGCTGTCAGCACACAGCTATGGGGGCACCCAGCCCCAAGTTTCGGGGGTACCTTCATAGGTGTTGACAGCCTCCAGGTTCATCATGTGCCGGATGATGTGGTACTCATCACACACCCCGTTGCCCCCCAGCATGTCACGTGCCTGCCGGGCGATCTCCAGCGCTTTGCCGCACGAGTTGCGCTTCAGCATCGACACCATCTCAGGGGCTGCCCTGAGGGGATGCAGACCCTCAGCTCTGCCCCGGGGAGCCCTGCAGGTCACCCCATCACAGCCACACACCTGCCCTCGTCTTTAAGGCGGCCGAGCCGCAGGCAGGCGTGCAGCCCGAGCGCAATCTCCGTCACCATGTCCGCCAGCTTCTTCTGCACCAGCTGGTTACGGGCCAAGGGCACCCCAAACTGCTTCCTGCGGCAGATGGGGGGGCACGGGGAGCCGGGGGGGCAGTGCAGGGGGGGTCAGTTGTGCCCCCACTCCCCATTACCTGTCCAAGGTGTACTGCCGAGCCGTCTCCAGGCACGCTTCCGCAGCACCGAGTGCGCCCCACGCGATGCCATAGCGGGCGTGGGTCAAGCAGCTAAAGGGACCCTGAGGAGCGGCCGTCAGCGAGGGTCCCATTGCTGGGTTTCACCCCCATGCTCCCACAAGCCCCCCCTTACCCCCAGCCCCTTGACACTGGGCAGCATGTTCTCCTCCGGCACCTCCACATCATCCATCACAATCATGCCGGTGGCAGATGCACGCAGTGAGAACTTGCCCTCGATTTTGGGGGTGCTGAGCCCCGCCATGCCGCGTTCCAGCAGGAAACCCCGAATCTGCTGGTCCTCCTCACACACTGCCCAGACCACACACAGCTCAGCCACCGGGGCGTTGGTGATCCTAGGGGTGCGGGGGCATCAGCGGGATCCAGGGTGGGCTTCTCCCCCCGGGATAGCTTTGGTGGGGGTCTCACCAGGTCTTGGTGCCCCGCAGGCGGTAGCTCTTGGTGGCTTTGTCATAGCGTGCGCGCGTCTCCATGCTTCCAGGGTCGCTCCCGTGGTTGGGCTCTGTCAGCCCGAAGCAGCCCAACATCTCCCCCTTTGCTGCACAGAGGGGTCAGGGCTGTCTGCACCCCACAAATCCCACCCACCACATTCCCCCCATCTTTGCTCACCCAGAGCAGGCAGGAAGCGTTCTCGCTGAGCTGGGGTCCCGAAGGCCAGGATGGGGTGCATGACGAGGGACGACTGCACACTCAGCACCGAGCGGTAGCTGCTGTCCACACGCTCCAACTCCCGTGTCACCAGCCCATAGCCCACCGAGGTGGTCCCCGCGCAGCCATACCCTGGGGACCCCCACACCACTGCATCCCCTTCTGAGGGGCCCCACTGCTCCCCAGACTCATCCTTGGAGGACCACACCCCCAGAACTTATTTCCATGGGACCACCCCTGCCCCTCCAATGCACCCCCAGAGATCCCAACACCACCCTGGACCCTCCTTATAAACCTCCCTCCCTCATCCCACTGCTCTCACAAGGGACCTTCCCCACCCAGGGACCCCACAACCTTCTCTAAAGTTTCCCTTACCCTCCAGCTCCCCAGAACCCCTTTAACACCCCCCATAACCCCCCTCACCTTGGATGGTGGGACCCAGCAATCCCAGAGCTCCCATCTCATTCACGATCTCCCGGTCAAAGACTTTTGGAGTAGGAGTACAGAAAGATGTTAAATTGGCCGAGGGATGGGGGGGGGGGGAAGCAGTGGGGACCCCCCCAACAAGTGGCTGCCACCAATGTCTGGTGGGGGTATCAGGGGTGCAGTGGGGTAATGGGTAGCACTGAGAGGGGCCATGGGGAGGTTATGGGAGCATATGGGGGGGTCTGAGGGGAATATGAGGGGCATTCTGGGAGGGTCTGGGGGTATCAGAGGAATACTGAGAGCGTATGTGGGGGGGGTCAAGGGGGTAAATGGGGTTCTGATTTCCCAGCCTCCAGCTTTGGGATCATGGGGAGGATATGGGAGTATATGGGTGAGTCTGAGGGTAACAGGATTCAGGGCATTCTGGGAGGGTCTGGGGGTATCAGAGGAATACTGAGAGGGTATGTGGGGGATGGGAGGGGTCAAGGGGGTTCCAATTTCCCAGCCTCTAGCTTTGGAGTAGGAACATGGCAGCACGGGGGCATTGGGTGCCAGGGTGGAGGTTGGGGGGGGTCGTACCCTCGTGCCTGTTGGCACGCAGCACGCGGGGCAGCAGCTGCTCCTGACTGTATTTGCGGACTGCATCCCGCAGCATCCGCTCCTCCGGGCTCAGCAGCTCCTCCAGCACCAGAGGGTCCCCCCAGTGGAAGGTGGCTGGGGGGGTGGGGTGGGGGGAGATCAGTCTCCGTGAGTGGGGGCAGCGCCCAAGGAGTCCCACGTGTGGGATCTCACGCTTTGGGCCCCCCCCACCCCGACCCACACTTTGGGGATTCTACCCTTTGCTCCCCCCCGCACACTTTGTCTCCTCTCCACCTCGGCACCCCTCACCACGGGCGGGGGCAGCACCAACGGGATCTCCTAGGGGGTCTCAGCCCATTCCTGGGGGTCTCACCCCACTCCCGGGGGTCTCACCCCGCTCCACTCACCACGCGTGGGGGCGGCGGTTCCCCCCCAGCGGACACCGCTCAGGGCTGAGCGCAGCAATGGGGCGACGAAACGCAGCGCCATGGAGCCTGGAGGGGAAGGGGGGGAGAAACGTGGTAAGAGATGAGCCGAAAACCCCCAAAACCCCCCCAGGGCCACCAAAACCCACGGACCTCCCCCCCCAATCCCGCACCGTGCGAGCAGCGCGGCGGCGAACGGACCCTGCGGAGCACCGACATGACGTCACGGGGGGGAGGACCCGGGGGGTGGGGGGTGGGAGGGGTGGGGGTAGGAGAAACCTTGGGATTAACCCCTTCCTGCCCGGAGTGAGGGGACAGAACAGCTCGCTCCTAAATCCCGCTCCCCCCCAACCCCTCCCCACGATGGGGTTACACGGGGAGATCCGGGGGGGGATTTGAGTTCCTGGGAACAGCGTTTGATGGCTCAGCGGTCCCGAAGCAGCAACGGGATACCGACAATCCCGATATAACCCCGATGTAATCCCAATTAGACGCAGTTTAGTGACTTGAGGAGTTTGTTTGAGATGATAGAGAGAACTTTGGGCATCAAAGGGGGGAACCGTGGCTGCCCATCAGCTGTGCAGCTGCACCTGAAACCCTTGTGAAATAGGAATTGCACTCCTGTTACGGCATGTGACACTTCGGGAGTGTCAACAAAACTCTTTTTTTTTTTTTTTTTTTTTTTTAATTGGGGATGTAATGTGGCTTGCACTTTTTTTTTTTTTCTTCCCCAGATAATGTTATTTAGTTATTTGTTTAATTAGAAACTTGCCCATAGAATTTGGTGTGTGGAAGACTGAATATATTATTGTCCTTCACTTCTAAAACAGCAGCAATAAAGTATTTGCAAGGAGGAAGTCTTGACTTTGTTGTATGGAAGGAGGGGATAATTGACTATTTCAGAAGTTGTTTTGTAAGGAAAATATTCGTAAGCACTTCTCAGTCATACTTGAAAAGGAAATAGTGCCTATTCAAGATTCTTCACACGTGTTGTTTGGTGCATTAAATTGGTGTCTTCTCCTATATTATCTGTATTACTGACGTTTTGGGGAGGAAGTAGTGAAGAGCAAACAAAGATCCATTACTTTTTGCTGTCTTAAGTATTTCTTGGCCTTTAGGTCCACTGTTGCTGCTTCAGACTCTTCTTGTTGGAGAAAAATACAGAACGGATATCTTCATGGTGTTAGGAGGAAAAAAAATCCAGCCAAGCAATCCTGCTGCATGCTTTGCTGTTGTACAACCTCTGTTATGTGAGCAGGAAAGGTTTGAGGAGTATTGATTTAAAACAGCGAAGAAGTTATGCCTTTTGTCACAGCTTTCATACTACATTCACTGTGCTGAGCTGCTGCCACTTTTGCTGCCGTGGAGGAAGCACACAAAGGATGGAGCATCCTGCAGCACCTGCCTTTGTTGCTGGAGCTGGAGGTGGCCTTTCTGCTGGCAGGCAGGGAAAGCATCTATCCCTCCTTTAAACTGAGAGAGGTAGAAGCAGGTTTCAGCTTTGGGTGCTGGGAAAACCTGATTATGTTGGCTTTGTGACAGATCCCTGCTGCCTCTCTGCTTTTATTGCACCAGGCTACATTAAGAGAAGTTGTGTTAAGAATATCCAAGTGGCTACTGAAATTTTCAAATGGTTAATCCCTATTAATCCCTATTATGGTATATCAAGATGTCTATCTAGACAACGTTATTGTCTGTAGTGGTATATAGCATTTGTATGTAGTGGCTCTGGGCAGCCTGGTCTGGTGGTTGGTGACCTCGCACATAGCAGGGGGGTTGAAACGAGATGATCATTGTGGTCCTTTTCAACCAGGTCATTCTATGATTCGATGATTCCATGATTCTTTGGCTCAGGGCTTTGTGCCTTTGAGTAGCAGTGGGGACAGTGTTGGGTTTCCAATATCAGAAAGGTTAATAGAGGGGACATGAGGGCCAATGGGCTGCACTGCTGTTCCCTACACACTTCATACAAGGGCAAAACAGGTGTACATAAAGATGGCAGATCTCAAACAACAGCTGGGCAAAGGTTTGAGGAGAAGTACGGGGGTGGGAAGTGGAAGAAGTTGTGTTTATGGATGAGTTGTGCCATCCTGTTTATTGGTACAGCCTTCACACTGCCTCCTACATCTGCTCCCAGGTAACAGCTGTGGGATCCCCTTAAGCAGCGCCAGGGGCAGCTGCAGGTGGGACTTGAGGAAACATTTCTTAGAAAGCGTGGTGAAGTGCTGACAGGGGGTGCAAATCACCGCCCCCAGAGGGGCAGGAGAAAGACAGAGATGTGGCAATGAGGGATGTGGGCAGTGGGGATGGGTTGGGGTTGGACTTTGGGATCTCTTGGAGGTCTTTTCCAACCTTAAAGATTCTATGAAATTCTATAATCTGAGGGTTTGAGGGTTTGGAGAAGATGGGGGGAATTTGGCTGTATTTAAATGTCTTTGGGGAACTTGGGAGGTTTTAAGGGCTTGGGGGGAAATTTGTCAATTTGGAGAAGGGGTGGGGTCCCATGGAACAACCCCCCCCATACATCCCCATCCAGGCCCCTCCTTCAGATTGCCAAATAAACAGCACAGCAGGGCCGGGCAGATCTGTACACACTTTATTGATCCCCGTGGCCCCCGAGCCCCAAATCCCAGAGGGCCGCAGCGTCCCAGGGTCGTTTGCATAGCAAGAATGGGGGGGTGGGGTGGGGTGTGACGTCGGGATGTCACAAAGGGTCAGTGATGTCATCCAGTGGTGTTGGGGCTGTGCTGTGACATCACAGCAGTGACATCAGCACACGGCAAGGAGCATTCCCCCATCCCTACGGCTGGAACGGTGCCACGTTGGTGACATCACAGCTATGACATCACCACCCCACCAGCATCAGTGACACCGCACTGTGACATCAACGCTTCTGCCCTCCCTGTTGGAACTGACATCATCACTCCCCCTGTGCCGGCAGTGACGTCACTCAGCGCTGTGACATCATCAATCCCTCTCCACGGTGACATCACCGCTGTGACATCAGCAAGGGCAAAAACGGAGCTGGGGGTGGGGGAAGCAACGCTGTGGGGAAGCAGAAGGGCTGTGGGGGTGTCACAGTATGAACCCTTTGTGTACATGGGGTGCAGAAGTGCCTGCGACGCTCTGGGGCCCCATTATGTACAGCGGCTGGGGGGATTCAAGGGGGGGGCTCAGCGCTTTGCGGGGGTCCTCTCCCCATCCCCGGGGGTGGGGGTGGCAGCGGGGGGAGCTGACCCCGACCCCACCACCACGATGGGCACCGGGGGCACGGCCCGGTGCTCCTGCACGGGGCTGAGCGCTTTGGGGACCGCCTCGGCCCCCGCATTCCCCAGCAGCAGCGGCGGCTCCTGGCGGCCCAGGCGACGGGCAGGGACCGGTGGGGCCTCACCGGGGCTCTCCCCGTCCCACTCGGCCAAGCTGTGCAGCGAGGGTTCGGGCGGGAAGTCCTTGCGGGGCTCGAGACCCAACTTGCGGGCAGCAGACTTGTCAGGGCCGGGCCGGCGGGCGAGGCGCGGAGAGTCCGCGGGCTTTGCGTGCAACTTGGCGGGGAAAGCGGGCGGCGAGGCGGCGGGCGGCGAAGGGGTGTGGGCGAGCGGCGAGAGCGGGATGCTGCCCGCCGACTTGCAGCGCGCTGCCCGGTACTGCCGCTGCAGCTTCGGGGAGAGGCCCTGCAGAGAGCTGGGGCGGAGATGCGGGCCCGGAGCCGGCGACGGGGGAGCGCTGGAGCCCGGGGAGCTGCTGGGCGGGGACGGCCCTGCCCGAACCGAGCGTCACCGCGTGGCTCTCGCACCAGGCCTCGGCCCTGCGACCTCCCCAGGCCGCCATGTTATCCCCCAGCCACCACTTCCGGCTCCCTCCCAGACCCACTTCCGTTCCCGTAGCCCCGCCCTTCCCTTCCTCCCTTCTCCTCCCCCCCCACTTCCGGCTCCCGCCCTCCTCCGCCGCCATCGCCTCCCCCCCGGCCCGGTACCTGTCTCGGCGGCGCGAGGCGGGTGGGCGGGATCCCGCGCCCGCGCGTGCGTGGGAGAGGCGGGGAGGCTGTCGGAGGAGGAGAGCGAGCGGCTGAGAGACGTCAGCGAGCGGCTCGTGTGCAGCAGGGACGCCTGCCGCGCGAGGTGGCGGAAGAGCGCACTGCGCCGCCTGCCGGATGGGAGGACTCACTGCAGGTCCCGCGCTATCCCGGTGCCCCGGTGCTGACCGGCCCGCTGCTCACCTCTCGTGGCCGCTCCCGGCGCCGCCCCGGCGGTTCCTGCGAGCCATTTTGGCACGGGCGCTGCGGCGCCGAGCGGGCCCGAGGCGGATGGAGGTGTTCTCCAAGGGAGTGGTGCTCACCAGCACCTTGGTGCCGCTCTGCGGAGTGATTGGGGGGGGGTGACATCTGACCCCGCCGTGAACCCACGTGACATCACCGCGACCCACGAGCCAGCCGTGACCTCTGACCCCACCCTGACCTCTCATTCCTGGGGGCTTTTGGCCTCCGCGATCCCACATCTCACAACCCTTGTGACCCCCCCAATGACCCCACAGCCCGTGACCCCCTATGACCCTGAGATCCCATAACCACAAGCCCCACTGAGTGACCCCACAACCCATAACTTCACACCCCACGACCCCAGACCCCATAACCCCACGACCCTCTCTCACATGACGCCACCCCCACAACCCCCTTAACACCCATGACCCCACATGACCCCACACCTCACAGCCCCTACCCCCCCCAGCCCCCATGCACCGCTGACCTTCAGGATGAGCTCCACCACCTCGGTGTGCACCAACCCGTGCACGGGCTCCCCGTTGACGTGGGTGATGAGATCCCCTGCACACAGCCCCGCCTCCTGTGCCGGGCCCCCCTCCTCCACGTGCTGCACACACAGAGCCGTCACCCCATGGCCCCCACCATGGGGACCCAAACCATGCAGACACCTCAGTGCCCACATCCCCTCCTTGTCCCCCTATCTTCCCCCACATCCCTTCCCCACACCCACACCCTCTCCACATCCCCCCCACATGCACATTGCCACCCATGTCCCCCCACACCCCTACAATCCCCCATGACCCCACATCCCCCCACATCTCTCCATGACCCCATACCCCCTCCCACCCCCATACCCCCCCGTTCCCACTGACCCAGACGACATGATGCACACTGTAGACGTCGCTGTCCCCCAGGTAGACTCGGATGGCACGCAGAGTGAAGCCAAACTTCTTGCCGGGTCGTGGGATGGCGATGGGAGAACGGGGGGCAGCCACGGCGGGGGCCAATTCCCTCCCGGGGGAGGAATCCCGTGAAGACGGATCCGAGGACAGCGAGCGTGGGGACATGGGGCTGCCCAGGGGAGAGGAGCCGGCCGCCTCCCCTGCGCCCACCATGGTATTGTGACCACCAAGAGGGACACTGGGACCCCCACCCTGGGGACACTGCCAGCCCCCAGCACCCTTGAGGACCCAATCACCCCGAGGACACTGCTGGTTATGGGGTCCTAAGGGACCATATCACCCTTGGGGACTCTCGGGGCACCATCACCCACTGCCCCCATCCCTGAGGGACTCCCACCCTGGAGACTTTGCCCCCCTTTGTGACCCGGGGGGGACACACTCACCGCTGGGGATGATGACAGACAGCGCGGTGGCCGATGCCGATTTGGTGACCTTTCCAGGTCCACGGGGGCTGCGTTTATCAGCCCCCCCTTCGGGGGTCACCCCTGGGTGTCGCGGCCGCCGCAGCCCCAGCTCAGTGCGGGGGGTGGGCTGCACCCGGTCACCTAAAGGAGAGGGCATGGAAGTGATGGGGGAGGGGGGGGATGGAGGTGACACACAGGGATCCCCCAGCACCCACCTGGCTCCTCTGGGGTGCTCTCGGTTGGGCCGTCTCGGGGGGGGACCCCATTGCGGGGGGGTCCCGGTTCCAGTAGGGCCGAGAAGCGACGCCGGGCACCGGGTGGGGGGCTGCTGTCCCCTTCAGCTGGGGGGGGCTCAGGCGCTGGTGGGCGCTTCCTGCAGAAAGCAGAGTGCTGCTGGGGGGAGTGGGGGGCAACATCTGCAGACCCCCTTGGGAACACCCTATGCCCCATTTAGGGACCCATTTAGGGACCCACACATTCCGCCCTCCCCAGGAACAGAGGTGTCCCCCACAGACCCCGTTGTACCCCCCCAGGGTCTGATGTCCCCCCCCATGCTCACAGCTCAGGGGACGCCGTGCGCCAGCCCCGCTCCCTGGCGATGCCCTCCCGTCGTCCCTCATCCCGCGGCCGTCCTTTGGCTGCCTTTGGCTCCGGCTGCTGAGAGAGCTGCTCCAGGCTGCTGTACACCTGGGGGGGGCAGGGGAGGGGGAAAAGCGGGGCTGCGCTGAGATCCCACCAAGGATTCACACGATGGTTTGCACAAGTGTGAGCGCACGCCAGATGAGGCTGTGCACCATCAACCTGTGCTGCACATCCCCATGTGTTCCCTCCCGTCTGTTCCCCCCGCCCCGTGTCCCCTTGCCCCCTCCCCATTGCCCCCACCTTGCTGAAGCGCGGGGAGCAGGATGAGAACTGCCGGATCTCCACGGGTTCATCCTCTGTCGTGTCCTCATCCTCATAGGAGGTGATGTGGGGGTAGCGGTCCGAGCGTGCTGTAGGAGGGTGGGAGGGAATAAGGGGGAAGGGGGGGGGGGGGGGGGGGGNAAGGAGCATAAAGTGTCCCTAAGCGGGCTCAGATGATCCCATCAGAAAGGGGCCATCAGGAAGCTTCCATGGGGAAAGGACAACCACTGTGGGGAGCCACAGGTGGGTTCTAATGGTTCCCAGGGGAGACAGAATGGGGTGTCCTGGGAGGTTCCATGGGTGCCACCAGTGCCCCAGGGGACCCTCCGGGGAGGGGGGCGGGTCACTCACTGTCAAAGTAACTCGTGTCCTCCTCAGACTCCAGATGGGGCACAAACTCAGCTTTCTGCCGTAGCAGGCCGGTCCAATCCAGCGCTGCAAAGAAGCTGTGAGCCTTCACCTCCTGTGCTCCGCCTGCATGGGGACATTGGGTGCCGTGGGGTGACGTGGGGTGACACAGAGGTAAGGTGGGCTGTGGGGTTTGGGTCTCACCCGCCCCCAGGCGTCGCAGGGGGTCGGTCTGCAGCAGGCAGGAGATGAGGTGCTGCGCATCAGGGGGTAGAGCCTCGTCCCCCTCTGGCCACAGGATCTCATCTGGAGGGCGGGTGAGGATATGGGGATGTGAACACAAGAGCCCAGCCCAGCCCTGTGTCCCCATACAGGACATGAGCAGCCCCCTCTGAGTCCCCATGTCTGTCCCTGAGCCGGCAGTGCCCCATCCCTACCCCCATCCCATGTCCCCATTGCTGTCCTTGTGTCCCCATGTCCTGGAGGTGACCATTTCCATCCCTCTGTCCCCATACTGGAGCCAATGTGCACTGTGTGCTTGGATCCCTATACCCACAATGACATCTCCTGCCCCTCCATGCCCCCAGTGTCCCCATACCCACAGTGACACCTCCATGCCCCCAATGTCCCCAAACCCACAGTGACATCTCCTGCCCCTCCATGTCCCCAGTGTCCCCATACCCACAGTGACATCTCCTGCCCCTCCATGTCCCCAGTGTCCCCATACCCACAATGACATTCCCTATCCCCCGTGTGCCCCCCCCCCACGTCCCCATGTCCCCGTACCCGAGATGACCTGCCCGAAAAGCTCCTCGGGGGTGTCCCCGAAGAAGGGGACGCAGCCCACCAGGAACTCATAGAGGACGATTCCCATTGCCCACCAGTCCACGGGTTTCCCGTAGCCCTGACGCAGGATCACCTCCGGCGCGATGTATTCGGGAGTACCGCACACCTGGGGGCGGGCTCAGCGTTAGCCACGCCCCTGTTTCGCCCACAAGCAACACCCATTGGCTGCTCCTCTTGGCCACGCCCTCAATCACGCCCTCTGAGCACACCCATTGGTCGCTCACCGCCTTTGGCCTCGCCCCGGCCACGCCCACAAGCAACACCCATTGGCTACACTCCAGTGGCCACGCCCCCAGTCACGCCCTCTGAGCACACCCATTGGTTGTTCCCTTTGGCCACGCTCCTGGCCACGCCCACCTGCTTGTCGCGGAACTCCCTGGCGTCCTTCTCCATGTGCCCCTCGTACAGGTTGGTGGTGAGGCTCATCAGCCCCATCTTGGACAGCCCGAAGTCCGTCAGCTTCACGTGGCCCAGCGATGTGATCAGGAGGCTGCGGTTTGGGGGGGTGGGGGGGATGGGGAGCAGCTGGAACACCCCCAGACCTCCCCAAAGCCCCTTCCTGACCCCCCCGGGAACCCCCCTGGGCCTCCCCTACTTGTCGGGTTTGAGGTCGCGATGCACGATGCCGTAGTTGTGCAGGTATTCCAAGGCCAGCACGGTTTCGGCAAAGTAGAGCCTCGCCAGCTCCAGCGGCAGCGCCCCGATGTGCTTCAGCAGCGTGGCGCAGTCCCCGCCTGCAGGATGGAAACGGGCGATTATCGTGATATGAGCCGCCCCACCTGCGCCATATCGCGACCCCCCCAACCCGATATCACAATGCCCAGCCCTGGATGGTAACACCCAACCCTGTGTGGCACTGCTTCATTCCCTGCATCACAGCACCACTTCCCATATCACAGCACCCAACCCCATATCGCGACAGCTGGTCTGTTTCACGACACCCAGCCCTACACTCTTGGCTCCAGTCCCCATATCACAACACCCACCTCCATATCACAGCATCCATCCCTATATCAGAGCACCCATCCCCATATCACGACTCCCACCCCCATATCATGACTCCCAGCCCCCATATCGCGACTCCCACACCCCACACCGCACCTTCCACGTACTCCATGACCATGCAGAGGTGGCGGCGGGTCTGGAAGGAGCAGAACATGCTGACGACGAAGGGGTTCTCAGCAAAGGTGAGGATGTCGCGTTCCACGAAGGCCTGCTGGACCTGGTTGCGCAGCAGCAGGTTCTGCTTGTTGATCTTCTTCATGGCGAAGCGCTGCCGCGTGGCGCGGTGCCGCACCAAATACACTGCCCTGCATACAAGCAGCCGTCATGCCGGGACCCCGACCCGGACCCCCACCCTGAACCCCCCCGACCCCCCACTCCACGCCTTCTCACCCGTAGGCGCCGTTGCTGATGAGTTTGATGGTCTCGAAGTCGTTTTCACCTGGTGGTTTCTTGGGTCTGGGGACAGCGCTGCGGGCCTGGGGGGGCGGGGACGGGGGATGTGGGGGATGCGGGGGGTGATGGGGTGATGTAGGGACATGGGATGATGTGGAGATGCAGGGTGATGTGGGGACATGGGGGGATATGGGGTGATGTGGGGACATGGGGTGATGTGGGGATGTGGGGGGGGTGTGGGGTGATGTGAATGACGGCATGAAATGGTGACACGTGGGGGGATGTGGGGACACAGAGACCAACCCGGTGCCCACCTCAGCCCCCTCCTCAGGCTCTGGGGTGTTGCAGCCACCACTATCGGGCTCCTCCAGGTGTACCACATCTGCAGGGACACGGGATGTCACACGTGTGCACGCAAGCTCTGCACACTTCAGCACACATGTGCTTCCCATGTGACCCCACTTGTATACCAGGGAAGGGGTCCCTTGCCAGCCCCAGCTGCCCGATGATGTAGCGTGGGATGTCGGCCTTCAGCAGCCCCTGCCCCTCCGCCGCCGTCAGCAGCTGGTAGAACTCAGCTGGGTCGAACTCCTGTGGGCACACACAGACCGTTATGCATGTGTCACATGTGTGCACACGCCGTGGCACACTGATGGATACAAACACGGGTCTGTGTGAGAGGGAGAGCCCACCGAGGATGTGCGTGCAAAGTCAGCTGTGTGTGTGCACGGGTCAAGGATCTGCTCGCACCACGCACACGCGTGTGCTTCCCGTGTGCCCCCATCCCCCCACCCCAGTGGTGCTCAGGACATGCAGTGACATGGAGCAGTCCCGGCATCATGTCTGTTGTCATGGCAATGGAAGCCCTGCCCCATCTGGATTGGCTGAGACGGTGCCATGGTGACCAGGAAGGATGGGTCCTGTGGGATGTTTGGGGCAGTGCGGGATGAGAAGGGGGGTCTGGGGGTTCTTTGGGGTGGTGTGGGGGGTCCCGGGTCTGACCAGGCACTCCAGCAGCCGCGCAGGGCGGGAGATGATGATGAGGAGCTTCTTCACCAGCTGCGTGATGAAGGCCACCTCCTCTGATTCCGAGCGCTCGTAGGCCTGGGGAGTGTAAAGGGGGCTGGGGGGTCCCAGTGGCACCCAGGGGTGGGGGATATTTGTTGGGTGCCCATTGGGTGACATTGGGGTCCTCTGTGTCCTACTGAATACTGTTGGGTGGCATTGGGTCCCCATTGGGTCCCACTGGGTGACATCAACACCTGCTGGGTCCCCATTGGGTGACATTGACCCCCATTGGGTGACAAGACATCAACTCCTGTTGGGTCTCTATTGGATGACATTGACCCCCATTGGGTGACATTGACCCCCATTGGGTGCCCTTATCCCCCATTGGGTCCCCACTGGCTGACATTAACACCCCATTGGGTGCTGCTATCCCCCACTGTGTCCCCACCCCCCACTCACGTCCTGCAGCAGCCGCTCCATGTTCTCCTGCAGCTCATAGAAGTACCCAGCAGTGATGAGGCCGTGCCGTGCCTTGGCCAGGCAGTCCCGTGCCAGCTCTGCCAGTTGGTGCTGGATGAAGCTCAGAGCTCCATCAGCCAGTGGGGTCCCCCCGGGGCCGCAGCTCCGCACAAACTCCTCCAGCCTCTCCTCCATCTGCGCCGTCGCCTGTGGGGCCGGGATCCACGCTGCCCTGCTGCCCCCTGAGACCCCCGTGGCTGCCCCACAACAACCCCCATAAACCTGAAGATCCCAAAGGCTTCCTCAATATCCTAAAGACTCCCAGAAGACCTCCAAGACCCCATATGTCCTGCAGTTCCCCATGGATCCCCAGAAGATCCTCAATATTCCATATGCTCCCCCAGTGCCCTACAGTCTCATCCTTATAAACACCCAAATCTCCCCCCCTCCCCATATTCTCTCTAGGCTCACATATTCACTCCAAGTCCACTTCCCAGGATCCCAAACCCCCTCTTTGGACCAGTCCCAGCCCCCGAAACACCTGTAGCCCCCCTCCATCCCCCCAGGCCCCACCTTGGGGAAGCGCTCCTTGTACACGTGGTTCATCATCACGATCTCATTGTCATGGGATGAGGGCGAACGTCCGGGGCTGGGGGGACAATGCTGGCACCTGCTGGACCCCCAGCATCCCCCCAGCCCCAAAACATCCCCAACCCCACATCACCCCCAGATGTCCCCACAGTGTCCCCCGGTTCCAAAATATCCCCAACTCTACATCTCCCCCAAGTGTCCCCTGCTGTCCCCAGCCCCTTGGTACCCCAATCCCCCCCACTTTGCCCCCATCGTCTCCCCACGCCACCCGCAACCCCACATCACCTTCAGGTGTCTCCTGATGTCCCCATCGCCCCACTCCCCCCAAACTCTTCCATATCACCCGAAAAACCCCACGCCATCCCCGGCCCCACCTGAGGCTGCGGGACCTGGGGCGGGGGGCTGACCCCCCTCGACCCCCTCCTTCCTCCTCAGCCAGGCTCTCAGAGCTGCCAAAGTGTCGGGAGAGGAAGCGCAGCTCCTCCGGCGTGGGCTGAGCCGGCAGCTGATGCAGGCGCTCCTGGGACGAGCACGAGGACTGCGCGCCCGCGTCACCCCATGGGCCCCCCCATGGGCCCACCCCATGGATCCCCCCCATGGGTACCCCCTTCCACAGACCCCCTCATGGATTCCCCCCCATGACCCCCCTCATGGACTCCCTCCCATGTACCCCCTCCCATGGACCCCCCCAAATTGGATCTCCTCATGGACTCCCACCCATGGACCCCCCCCATGGACCCTCTCCCATTGACCCCCTCATGGATCCCCCCCACGGACCCCCTCATGGATCCCTTCCCATAGACCTCTCCCCATGGACCCCCTCATAGACCCCCTCCCTGTGTCCCCTCTATGGACTCCTTCCCATGGATCCCTCCACGGACCTCCCTCCATGGACCCCCCCAAATGAATCCCCCCCATGTATCGCCTCCATGGACCCCCTTCCATGGATTCCCCCATCTGTCCCCTCCATATTTTCCCTCATGGACCCCTTCCCCTGGACCTCCCCCCATGGACCTTCCCCCATGCCCCCCCTCCCCCATGGACCCCCTCCCCATGAATCCCCCTCACAGACCCCTATAGAGCACCTCATGGACCCTTCTTCAATAGATTCCAACCCCCCAACATTGGTGGGACACTCATGGTGCTCATACAGGGGGAAGAACACCCAGCATCAATTTGGGGGGGGGGGGGGGGGCAATATGGAGGGGAGGGTTGGGGGTCTCCCTGTGGGGTTGGGGGGTACCGAGGGACCCCCCTGCACTCACCGAGACAGTGGAGCTGGGGGTGTTGGTGCCATAGCCTGAGGATGGCAGTGAGGCCAGGGACCACCGGCGCCCGTCGGCTCTGGGGGTGACCTCAGTGAACCCCCCCCACCAAGGACTACCCCCCCCAACCTGAGACCACCCCAACCCTGGGACCACCCCCAATATGCGACCACCTCACACCTTCAGAACCCCCCAGCCATCGGCCATTTCCCCACCCTAGGACCCTTCCCTGCTCTGAAACCTCTCCACACTGAGACACCCCCCCCTCACTGGGATGAATTCCCACCATGGGACCCCCCATCAACCTGGGACCCCCCCCTTCCTCCCCCACCTGCGAGATGAGGCGAAGCAGAAGTGTGCTGGATTGCTGGGGGAGAAGTTGCGGGGGCTGTCCAGGGGGCTGCTGCCTGTGGGGGGGACATGGAGGAGAACATAGGGATGACATAAAACCCCCTTCCCATTGTCAGCCCCCCCACCCTGCCAGTCTCCACCCACACTCAGGGGAAAAGAGTTGGGGGCATCAGGAGAGACCCCAGTGAATGAGGGGGGAGGGGATTATCAGTCCTATGAAGGCTTTGGGGTG